TACCCAACTTTAGGAAGGGGAGAAGACTGAAAGGAGCAGGTGTGGCTGCACCAGGAGTGTGTGGAAGAGGAAAGCAGAAAAGAGAGGTTAAAATATTGCTTAACTTCTGCATTAGGCAATCAGCTCTTTTTTTTTTTTTTTGAGGTCTGCACATGCTAAGTTAGCTTTATGTTGTTCTTTGGCACTGTTTATAATCTTGTGGCAGACCTGAAAGTCTGGAACAGAACATTTTTTTATATAAGGTTTTAGTTTATTCTTCCTTTAGTCTTATTGATACTGTTTATCAACCACTTCCTGCTTGAACACTGTGAGCTACAGGTGCCAGTTCTGAGTGGTCCTCTGGGTGCAAGCAGAACATGAACATGCACATGCTCAAGAGGTTCCTGAGTAATAAATTTAAAATACTGTGTTCATCTGGGAAAACTTAATAAATTGCCCAGTTTTGCACAGCTTCATAAAACTCTTCTTTGTGTGGGCATCTGGAATATTAAGGTCGTTCTGATTTATTTCGTTGTCTTGGTGAAATTTGCTACTGAGATAAATACAAAGCAAATACAAATCTGGCCTGTTTGCAGTGAAAATTTTCCTGGGTTCTGTGGCCACGCTGAACACAACCTTTAACCAGCTGGATAATCTCTCCTTGGAGCAAATGCACTGGTATAACTGGCTTAACTGGTAGCAGAGGCATGATGTCAGTGCAGAGCACCCCTGGATCTTTATCTGCTTTAAGCCACTGAAATTCCCTAAATTTCACAACAGTCACAAAACTCTGAGACTTACTACACAGATTTATGTTGTCAGAGAGTATCTTTAGAGTTTTTTTTTGCTTTAGAAATTAAAAATGCAAAAAGACAGTCCCAGGACCTTTGAGTTATTTTAACTGATCCAGCACAGTCTCCAGAACATCAAGTCAGTAAAATTTAAGATGTATGTCCTGGGTTTTAATTAAAAAAACATGTTCCAGTTCTCTGACATACCATCAAGTTTCCATTCATCATGAAATAACTGAATGTCATCATAGTCCAGCAATATTCCAGCTTATTCTGTGGATTGCTGTGGGATGGTATGAAATGAGTGTTTTCTGCTTTCACTGAAACCCAAGGGAAGCTTTCAGGCTGACTTAGAGAATTTGGGTTTCATACCCTTCTCTGGATTGGTGGAATCCTTTTTCCTGAACTTTTCAGTGCTTTTTTTCTTGGCATTCTGTGCCCTCACTGGGTTACTGCAGACTTAAGGGGTGGGCTTTTTGGAAGATAAATGGTTAATATTGGTTATTCTTCAAAAAATACCCAGAAGGAACAGAACTTACATGGCATGGCTGGGGAGGATTGTTGTGTAGGAAAAGGGGATCTGTGCTGATCTTTAGCAGGCACAGGTGGCTTCCCAAGGGAAGTAACTTTAAAATGTCTGGGAATATTTGATGCAGTAGACGACATAGGGTAGGGAACAGTCCAACAGTGGGCAAAATAACAGTCTTGGGACTGTCTGACCTTAGCAGAATAACTGCTACAACACACCCGTTTGTTGGGCTGTTGTGTGTAATTAACTCTGAGTTGGATGTTCAGTCATTGCTGTGATAGTTCATAGCGCATCAAACGTTTAGATCAGCTGAAAACCTGGGAAAAGCTAGAGCTGAGGCTCCTTGTCTTTGCTCGGCCTCAGTGTGTGGGCACAGTGCAGAGTGATTAACACTCTCCCGCTTGATTAATGCGCCTTTTTTGTTTGCCCCCTTTTTATGTCCAGAAGAAGGGGGTGGCCGTAGTGACGGTTAATTTGTGGGTCGGACCGCAACGGGCGCCTCACATGCCCCGTGACGTACGTGACGTGCGCGCGGGCGGGGCGGTTGGGGCGGACGGCGCGCGGGCCGGAGGGGGCGCCGTCGCCGCGCTGCACTGGGCAAAGGACGGGGCCGGCACGCGCGGGCGGAGCGCCCCGCGCGCCCCATTGGCTCTGCCCGGCCGGGGGCGGGCTCACTGTCGCCAGCTCGGTGCCGTCAATTGGTCGGGACCGCCCGCACGCTTCACGGGCTGCTCCCGCCTCCCCGTGAAGGGGGTGCCGGCGGGCGAGGGCGCGGCGGTCGCCGGCAGCCCGCGGGCTCCGCTTCGTCCGACTCGTTCCCGGGAGCCGCCCCACGTCACGGCTGAGGTGAGTGAAGCTGCCTCTGCGTTCGTCCGTCTCGCAACCTGCGGCCTTGGGGCGAGTAAACCCGGGGGAACACCCCAGGGAGGTTGCCGGGGGTCCCCGCTCTGAGGGCGTCGCACGAGGAGGCTGCTGCACTTGTAGGGTCTAGACCCCGGGACCGGCTTTTATTGTTTTCGTTTGAATGCCTTCCGGTTTTTAATTTCGGCGAGCTGCAAAGTTGCTGTTGTTCCTCATTCTGCAGCATCACTTCGCTGCGTTTCGGGGCTGTGGATGGAACCTCGTGCCCGTCCCACCATCTTCACCTTCCCCCAGGTTATTCTTATAGGAGGAGTAATTCTTCATTTTTGCATTAATTATTTGCTTTAAACAGTAATAATTTTTTTTTAAAAGTCGGTCTTACATGGGACGGTGCGTTTCCGTAATGCAAAGCAACTTCCTGCATAATGAATTAACTCTTAGGAAACCTTTGCACCGCTTTATCTAGAATTCTGAGTATTAATAGAAATTCCCGTTCTCGTGTGCCTTTCTATATTGTGCGTCTGAAATGAGTTGGTCAGAGTTAAATAATTCTGCAGCTTTTTTCCCCTCCCACTTCCACAGCTGAGGAAAGGGTTACCTTGAGCTTTCCTTGCATTAATAGGACGGAGAGAATCTGCAGAAGTTGCTTTCTCTCGTAACAATACGATTTATTACAGGCTTTTTGCTGCTGCTCTTACAGTTCTTGCGTGAGGCAGAACCCTGTGTGTGTCTTTAACTGCATTTACAACAGGATTTCCTAGAGGCCAAAAAGGCAAATGTTAAATACCAAGTATAAAGCCCCAAAGAGGAGTCCTGTGCCCTTTCCAGAACATGAATAAAAATATTTAACTTCTGTACGCCTGCAGTTAAGTCTCTTCTTTCATTTGTCTTTGCAGTAATAGGCATATACAAAACTGTATTTTAATGTGCAGAATAAGCAAATAAAATAAAAATATATGAGAGACCAAGAGGTGATTCCCTGTGAAGGTGTCACCACGTTTTAGGGCACCTGTCATCCCTTCATGCCCGGGTTGCTTCATGCTCACAGGTCTGATGTGGAGGAAACTTGTTACCAGTGAAGCACTCAAAATTTTTCCCTGTGAATTACAGACTCAAAACTGTTGGAAAATAACTGCTTTTCCTTTCTTTATTTGCTTTCCCAGTGTAATCATCCCATAGAACTAGTCCTCAGAGTGGTGATTCATGGATTATTGACATTGCTGGTAATTTTACTCGCATTAAGCTTATTTTACGGTGTGAGACCAGGGGATTATAATGCTCCAGCATTGACTTATCTCATCCAAACATATTTTTAAACCAGCTGCATGAAGTAGCACGAGAAGTCAGCTTTGTATTTTATAACCATGGAGGTTTGCCACTGGTGCTGACCTGGCCTGGCCCAGTTATTTCTTCTCCTGACAGCAGATATGGGAGATATTCCAGGGCTTAAATATAATGGGTACTGACGTGTGTCTGCACACTGATGGTGAGAAGTCTCCACCACAGAATCACCACAGGGACACTGCTTGGAAGTACATCAGGGTGAGGGATCAGGACACAGTGACTGCAGGGAATGATCTGCCTTTGTCTCAGAGTGGCATCTTGGTTGGAAAGTTTGGACTCATGTAACCTGGGAAGGAGTTTTGTCCTTTAAAACTGGCTCTGTGGTGTGTTTTGCAGCGGATTTCATTTAGTTAGAATTGTTGTGTCAAATTGTCTTCTGTTTCATGTCTCTTTTTTTTTTTTCTGTAGGAAACCTAAGAATTCTCTTGGTAGGTTCTGGGTTTTTTCTTTCTGATTTAATTCAGCTGCTCTTTTTAGAGGATGAAAGCTTAAACCTGCTGTTGTGATTTCTGTTTCTACCAACAAAACAAACAAAGAAAAAGAAGTGCTGGAAGAGCTTCTAGAGGCAGAAACAAAATCAGGGCTATTTTGTGTGTTTTAAGCATCTTTTCTTTTAGAAAGTGGGTGATGCAAAGGAAACATCTACGTGTAGTGTACTTTTAGTAACAAGTGATCCCTTAAATCCACTACTATCCCAGTGTGTTTTCTTTCCAATTCTCTATAATACTTGTTTTGTCAGTCAAAAATTTGTGTGTGGCTTTTGAGTTCTGTTATTTATGTGATCTGTTTAAGGCACTTCAGAAAAGGTCCAAATGGCTTTCCAGGTATGAATCCTTACTAAGCTCTTTGGCTGATCCTTGAACATGAAACTCTTGGTTAATGCCTGCAGTTCTCTCCCAGCACATGCTGAAACAGTAATTTGAGCTTTTACTGTGTTTTGCTGTTGCTATTTGGATAAAGAAAAAAACCTCTAAATATGCTTTTCTTTTTCAAAATAGCAGAGCTGATTTTTTGAGGATGTTTAATACTGTCCATATATGCTTTGTTCTGGTGTTCAGCTTGAAGCTGAAGGAATAAGGGTTTTTTGGAACTGATAATCCCAGCTAATCAGGGGTTGAGAGTGCCTTAGGACAACTCAAAAGCCAGGTCTCGGGATGAGAGTTGAATAATATCCAAGTGTTGTGCTTCCTGACTCCAGAGTATTATTGGTGGCCCTGGGTTGGGTGCTACATAACTTCAGTCAGATGTGCTACAGAAGTGGGCAGAGCAAGAGGAGAGCAAAGCTGAGAGCAAAGGGAGAAGCTGAAGATTTAGGAGGAGAGAGAACTGTATTTGAATGTGATCAAATTTTAAATATATCTTAGGCTGCCTCTGAGATTTTGGGAAGCCTCTCTGCTGTATTGGAGGGCTCAGTGGTGTGAATCCCACCTGGAAACAGAAAACTCAGAGGAAAGGCAGGTCATTCCTGCTGCTCTTGGGTTGGGATTGGAGTGTTTTTCGCATCTGCTTCTCCCTCAGGGTTTTGAGAACACATCAGTTTTGTCAACTAAAGCCTCAGTCCTTGACTGTAAACACTTCCCACAGGAATTTTTGAAGTGCTGCAGGTAACACAGACCAAGCTCCAGCAAACCACGCAGCGAGACTTGCTAATAAGTCTTTCTCTTGTAGGCTTAAGTAGCCAAAGATGAGTCGTGGATTGTCAGAAAACAATAACTTCCCCTATGACAACAACCAAATGGTTTTGGATATGATCCTGTGTTCCCTCATTGGGGTTCCTCAGCCTATCAACTGGGACAGTGTGGCAAGGCTGGTCCCAGGATATACATCCAAAGAGGTGAGTTCACTGATAAGAGAACTTGTTTTCTTTCAGAAATGCTTTATGGAAAACAAAATATTTTCGGGGGGGAGGGAGGGAAATTGAAGTTAAGGGATTTTTGGTTCCTCAAGTGATTTATACTTTAAGAATTGAATATGTTAAATGAGCAGTAGATTAAAAACTGCATTCTGCATTTGGCTTCGTTAGAACTGATACAGAATAAGAATAAAAATTCCTGGAAATGAAAAATTTAAAAAGTGGAATAAAAAAAAATCATTTCAAATTACATAGCTAGAACTTTGATGAAAGGATGCCAGTACCCACTAACCTCATGTAGGTTTTTAGTATCCTAACTTGCAAACCTCATAACTTTCTATGCTGTTTGTTACAATTGTAAGGAAGTAGGAGTTCCAGACCTCTGTTAGGTACTTAAGAGTTCAGTTGCCTCTTGCTTGATCCTGCAAGATGTGGATTTTTCTTTCTTTAGTTGGAATAGAGCTGGAAGAACCTTGTACTTCCATACTCTTCTCTTCCTGGATTGCTGAATTTCCTGGTGAAATGCTTGTTTTTTTAGCAATAATTTTGACTTTTTCATTGCTGAGAGAGGAAAATGTCTTCTGCCCTTGTGATTCAGCAAAGCTGAAAGAAAACAAGCCAGTGGTTTTGACTTCCTTGCAAACATAATCAAGAGTGTCAGCTCACATTTATAGCATTGCTGTAACCTTGGATTGAGAACATAAAAATGAAGGATTGGGAGTAGAAGCTTCTGTGGAATGTTGCTGCCTCTCAAGGGCTTGGGAAAGTGCTTGGGGACGTCTCTGCTGTTCACCTTTCAATATGCACAAGTACCATGCACATTAAGCAAATAAAATAACAATTCAGGGAGCTCTCTCCTCGTGTTAATTAATATATTTGATTAGTACATGTCTGTTTACTCTGCTTTAAAAGAACTAAGTGTTTCAAATACGTGGAGTCCCTGTTTAAAGCAGTTACATAAAAGCAGAGAGATCCATTTACTTGTTGTATACAGTAGACTGGCATCACCACAGATTTGAGACATGACTATCAGAAGGATGTCACTGTGTGCCCCTGGCCTAAAGGGGTAGGTGGCACAAAGCAATGTCTGCTAAATCAACCCAAAATAAATAAATCAAACCAGCTGCTTGAATAGAGCCCAACACCTGTCTCACAGGAGCATCACCTGTGGAATTATGTAGATTTTACTGGTAAGTGCAAATTACCTGTGTGTAGGACTCTGCTGAACCAAACCCATAATTGTATGGGTACAAATTAGAGAATGGAAAGACTGTCTAGTTCATCAAAATAGGGAATGGGAAGTTAATAGAACTGCAGTGGGAAGTGAGAATTAACAGAACTGCAGTGGGAATTGGAAGTCAATAAAGCTGCAGTGGAAATCACCGGTCCCTTTTGTCCAAATCAGAATGGAGGTCATAAAATTAAAAAAAAAAGAAAAAGATTATTAACCAATTACTATAGCTACTTCTAATGATATTTGACCATGTTTGTGGTAAAAGAACGAGTTACAAAATGAGAATTCAAACTCTCCCCATTCGAAGTTTCAAAACTTTCCATTTTGAAAATGGGGCTTAAAAGCGCAGCGTTTAAGGAAATTAAAGGTGAAACAGGTTCTATCTAATTTTTTTCTCATTCTGTTAGAGTATTTAATTATGGTAACTCTTGTTTTACTGTGTATTTCTGTACTTTCCTGATACCACTCCTCAACTAGGAAGCATTGTAAGTTTGATATCAGTAACTGTTCCCTTGTGGGAGATACGAAATACAGTGTCCATCTCAAATCATAGTTATTACAAATGTACTGAAAGCTACTGCTTCATTGTCCTATCATTTAATCTTGTGACAGTGTGCAAAAAGGTTTGATGAGCTAAAAAGCAGTGGAAGTTCACCTGTTGACAACCAGTATAATTCCCTGATGGCTGCTGGTGGGAGTCCTGTGGAATCTTTAGCTACGTACATCAAATCCTCCTTGCTCGATACACAGACAGAGTTTCAGGAGCCTGCTATTGGGCAGGATTCCATTACTATAACTGGTATGTTTTTAGTCATTCTGAAATATATTGGCTTTGGTGATAATCAGTATGTGCATGCTTTTCTGTCCTGAGTGGTAAGTCCACCCAGGAATAATAGTTGTTCATCCTTGGAAAGTTAAGTATCAATATGATGTGTACGTGAAGGCACTTTCCATGAGTTTAGTTTGAGAATCGATGCTTGCTTGGGTATTTTTAATAACTTGTCCTTCCAAAAGGCACAAATCCTTCTGCTGAATCCTCTGTTTAGGGTTTTTGGTGGCGTGCTGTTAAACCTGCAGCCATTTGCAGGTTTAACATGAAGCAGTGTTATTAAAATAACTAGAGAGTGGTGTGTGGAAAAGCTGCAGGAAGCTGAGAAGGTGATCCCTTCAGGGCAAACCTTTCTCTCCCAGCTCCAAGCCCTGTGTTTCCCATGCTGCTCCATGGCAAGATGGCTGTGTAGGAGTTGGAGAATAATGCAGCTAATTTTTGAAGCAAGACAGTCTTGTGATGACATATAACATGTCTTAGTCAATGATATGTCCCAGCAATAATTTGGCAGAAGAGGACGAGTCCTAATAGTTGTAAATTCAGTCACAGCACATTTAAATATTGTTAAGAATTCCTTAAGTACTTCTGTCAGGAGTTGTAATTAAATGTGTGATAGTTACTCTTTCATTTTCATTAGACACTCAGATGTTTCAGTGCCTGCAGGACTTGATGTGTTGCATGAGAAATTTGCTTCAGTAATGAATAAACAATTTCTGTGTTAAAAATTAAGATCACAGTGAAGCACTTAAACAAAATATTCTCTGTTCTGATGTCCTTCACAGTGCTGCAGCTTTCACTGTTCTCTTGGCAGCAGAAAAACAGCTGTTTGAACTTTGGGGGATGAATAAAGTGTTTTTAATAACTCTAATCAAGGGGTGATACTGGAAAACTGCACATGGAGGGTCTAGACTGAAAAAAAAATGCTTCCAATCAGCTTTCAATTACGTAGTTACATGCATGATGTGGAATAAATGCTGCTGGCACCCACAGGTGCCTATTTATAAGATTAGTGGCTTCCCAGGAGGCAGTTAACGAGCTGACTGCTTCTAGAACTCCTTAGACAATTAGTTCATGTTTTCTTTTTAACAAAGTAATACATGTAATGAGCATTAATGCAGTTAAGTACACGAATGTCATGTTTCCTACTACTAGATCTTAGCCTGAGATTATTCTCTGTTTTCTTTGTGACTTTGGATAAACCATCTGCCCTGTTTGTATGGAATTTGTTGATATTAAATCAGGATAATTAATCTTTTTTTCTCACAGGCTTGAGTGAACTCACCTGCTTAATATTTGGGTATTTCAGAATTGGAGATTCGAGAGAAGCCTATTTGTAAACATATTTTGCTTAATTAATTACTTCCTAGTGCATTTTTTCCACATTTGCTTATTGTAAGGATCAAGAATTTGGGGCCTGTTTGCATTTGTTGGTAGTCAGGACTAACAGCAAGAAAAAGCAAATCGGGCCAAACTCATTTTGAGCTGGATTCTGCTTTTGGCTGAGTTATAACAGCTCATTTAATACTTGCTAATTGTAAGGCAAACTGCTGTTCAGTCCCTCTGAATGCATTTTATGGCAGTAAACAAGCATATAGGATAACCTTTTACCCAAAGTATTTATTAGTAATTTTCAGAAGTCAATCAAGTCAATCAATCTTAGGGGAGGAAGAAAAAAAGACAGGAAGCAATGTGTGGTGAAGTTGCCTGTGTTGCATATTATTATCAGCATTATTTCCTTTAATAAAGAACTTCACAGTGTCCAAAATAAACTTCTCAGTATTTGCAGACAGAAATCCTTCACACCATGTATTTCCCCAGTCCCTTTTTGTAAAACTCTCCCCTTCCCTTGCCTTCCAAATCTCCCCCCTCTGCTGCCTGCAGTGGGATGGCTGTGGCTGGACCAGCCCTTTCCAGGGTTTTACTGGGCTCTCTCAAGTGATTCTTCCCCTTTTATTAACTGTGTTCCCTCTATTCTGGCCTTACTAAGCCTTAACTGGGCAAGGCCTTAGGCTGGATCTTTGAAGAGAGTTTTGTTTCTTCTGCCTCTGGTAGGATAATTTTGTTTTCCTGAAGGGCACAACTGCTGGGTTCCATATCATTTTTGCTGTCAGTCTGCTGTAGTTATTTAGCCATAAGATGAAAAGGTCTGTTTTAATCTTCTTCAGAGGAGTGCAGCCTCTTACGTTACACAAGAGGGAGGAGACGCTTCTGGAACTCCTAAAAATCTGAGAGAATGATGTAATCTTGGAAAATAATGACTTTATAGGTTTTCATCAGGGGAAGACAGAAATGTGCCCTTCCATTGTTTAAAAAGCAATCATCTTTCTGACCTGTAAGCAAGATTATTGAAGTTTCAGATTGCAGTGATTCGTCATCACAGTGAAGAGTTTTTCATTGCCTTAACCCCTGACCCAGATTTGGTGACCAGACCTCCTGGACTTCACTGGGTTTTGTGTCCCCTTTTCACTGCTTGTGAAGACAACCTATTTGAAGTGCAGATGTCCCTTATAGTCCTGGAACAACCTCCATCTAGGACTAGTCAGATCTCATGGGCTGCTTTCTTTGAGCCTTGTTTTGTGTGATCAGCTGGTTTAAGCCACATGTGTGGAAGAACTTGGCAAAAACACCTCTTAAGAGCCTTCTGTGCTTCTCTTTGGAAGGGGCTTAATTTCAAAGCTGGCACATTCTGGGTGAGAGGTGGAATTAGTCTCAAGTTGTTATGTCCTGGCAGCAAAGCCTTCTGGAAACAGAAGTTTTGATGTGGCAGAGTCTTAAGACTCACATCCCCCAGAGCAGCCAAGGAGAGCTGAAGGAATGGATTGTATTCCCAGACGGAAGTGCTGGAGGCTGTGAATCCTATGCTCTGTGTTGAGACAGGACTGATGTGGATTTGTGGCCAAGTGTCTGGGCAACCCAGCAATGCTGCTGGTGTGAGTTCCCAGTGCATGGCATTGAGAGCAGGAATTTGGGTTGTTTAGTAGCCCCTGTGGAAGCAGATTTGTGGCTTGCCATGTCCCATTGCTCCCCCGTGGCAGCCGCACTTCGGTTGTGTTTCCAAGATGCTGAAGAACAGAAGGTCAGGCATTTTTGTTCTAATGCAGCCCCTTTTTTCCTTACATTTTGAAGGAAGGCCCAGTGCAACCTCCACAAGGAATTCTTCTTCAGAATCTGAGAAAGGTCCTGTACATAACAGTGGAGAAAGCACTGATGAAAGCCAGGGGTAAGGAGTTCTTTGTGTGTTTGTTATCTGGGGGATTCTAGAACTGACAGGAAGATGCCTAAAGTGCTCATGCTCTTCCACTACCAGAAAGAGAACAACTAACAAAAAGGGAACATCCTGCTAAATGCTGTAAGAAATTTGGGAACCTTACATTGCTACAGAAATATGAGGAGTTGGCTTGAGAATGTTTTGTGTGCAATAGGGATATTTATAAATCTGTCCATTGTGTTTCTCTGGGTGATTGATCACTGCTGTGGCAGGAATGGGAAACATAACCTGGTTTTAAAAAGGAATGAAACAAGATTGAAGCTCAAGAGTGTTTAACTTTAAAAAAATATTCTAGGAAGATAAATTTGTCCTATGTAAAAGCAGGAAAAAGAAGTGCAAGTGAAAAAATTTACCATGAATTCCAATAGCCATGTGTGTCACTTTGATACCATCAACATTCCTGTTTTCCATCCTACATGGGTACACATAGAATAATGGTTAATTGAAACCTAACACTAACCATCTTTTTGTAGAGACAGCATTTACTGATTCCAGCTTTGATATTAAGAAATAGCCATTTTAATATACAGCAAACCAATTTAATTTCCACAGATGAAAATTGCTGTTGTAAGCAGTTTTTGTCCTTGGTGCCTCAGTGACTTAGGCATGTATGTATATACCTGTCTTCTTATTTTAGGGAAACTAGAAAGGGAGAACAAACAAGTTCTTCATGTAATTCAGATAGAAGATTAATTGTTGGTTATAGGATGCTATCTCCTATCCTTTAATTGAATCACACAGAGGATATGCATCTGCCTTCTCCCCATGGCAATGCTCTCCAACAATAGCTTCTATTAATAGCTGTTATTAATAACTGCAATTTGTTTTCCTTATGGTGATAAAACCCTGTTAGTGACACCAGATCCAGAGCTGGGGAGGTGGTTGCTGGGATTTGATGTTACTGGCTTGAGGTCCTAAATAACTTAGTTGGTGGCTTTTTCTTTTTTTTTCTTTTGAGGCCAAATATGGTGATCCACGTGTGCGACGAAGCCAAAAACCTCAAAGAAGATTTTGTGTGCCCTCGAGACCTTCTGGTGTCGGAGATGAAGTACTTTGCCGAGTACCTGGCGGTGGACGCCCAGCGCTGGGAGGAGGTGGACATTTCCGTGCACTGCGACGTTCACATCTTTGACTGGCTCATGAAATACGTCAAAAGGAACACCAAAGACTCTGAGCTCGATGAAATGCCCACTTTAGGTAAAAAAAAAACAAACAAACAAAACCAACGTGTGTAGTGCATTTGTTGTGGGCTCGTTGTGTTCTGTGCCAATCGAAGATGGTGCAGCTCGGCCCCAATCTCTTTGTTTCTGAGCGTTGCAACAGAGATCCTCTGGTGATTATAGGACATGTCTCTGCTTTTTCAGCTTTGAGGAAACATGCTGAAAGCTGAAGCAGTAAAAAAGCTCTCATTTTTGGGATCTGGTGTTTTTAATTAAGGCTCCTCAGACCTGACCAAGAACAGAGTGGTAGTTTTAAAATAGACAGTTGTTGGGGTTTGTCTTGTTCCTCCTCTGCTCAACAATTGCAATGTTTTCTGTAATTTCCATGCAATCTGATACAATGGTAGAAGAGCCTTTGCCTTTATGGATTTGAGGCGAGTTTTTAATTTTTTATGAGCCTTTCCTACCATTTTTTAAAATATAACTTGCAATGCAAAGGTTGTGTTAAGAAAATCTCAGCTGGGTGTGATGGCTACAGATGGAAGTTAATCTTATTGTATCATTTTTTTAATCATGGTATCCCTATGAAGCCTCTTTTTCCAGTTTTAATAAATTCCAGGTTGTTATAGTTGTACTCTGGCCACCTAAATGATAAGCCAAAGGTTTGTTTCTTAAGATGGAAAATGTTCTATGTATTGGAAGATGGAATGAGAGGTTGATTGGTAAAATGATACTTAAAGCAGATACTAAATGTGCAGAGGGAAGGGTGTGATAAATATTACAAAAATAATTAATGTAAAAAAAACCCCCAACCTTTTTGTTTTCTTTTAGAACCATCAAATGTCATATCAATTCTCATTTCTTCAGAGTTTTTGAAGATGGATTCATTAGTAAGTATTAAGAAAGGTTGATCCTCTGCCACGAGGGCACAGTTAATTACCAGGTGTTTACCAGCTTGTTTGTTGTGCTTTGGCTGTTACATAAACAGGGGGTGCAATGAGAACATTTTGAAACTTTTACCACCTTTCCTATTCAGTGCAGTAATCCAATATTTGTGGAATCTCAATGCAATAAAACCTGAAGTTATTTCTAAATGTGACAGTGGGATCTTGGATTTGCCTTCTGATGGCTCATCCAAAGTAACATCACTAACTTACTTCTGATAGTTTTATCAGAAAAGATTAGTAATTAAATGATTATCTAGGTTTTATATCCCTTTTCCCCTTGAACAGCACTTGTGCAATTCAGGATCTGGTTTTTCAGCTCTATATAAGAAATATTTACTGATTGTTAAATGTCAAAAATCCTGTCACTGGGGGGACCCACAGCAAAATGTTTAAGTTGAGATCCAGGCAATACTATGTATAATTTGTGTTATGGTTCTCCTTTTACAAGCACTTGGAAGGTACCACTTGTTGAAGATGAAACACTTGTGGAGTCTTGGTCTTTAGAAGCTTCTGGAGAAGAACATTAACTCAGTCACGTTAATTCAGAGTCTCCTTTAAGCAAATCTGAGACTTTTTAAGTTGAACTGAAATAGTTTTCCAAAACACCACAGTTTAAAAAGTAAAAATCTTGAAGCAATTACGATGTTTAGAATTCTTTAACATCCATGTTTCTGTTTTTCCTAGGTAGAAAAATGTATCCACTATTGTCACAAAAATATGAATGCCATTGTAGCCACCCCTTGTAACATGAACTGTATCAATGCTAATCTTGTTACACACATTGCTGATCTCTTCAGGCACAATGAGGTGGAAGAGCTGAAGGACAAAAGAGACAAATTTAAGAGGTAATTTTTGCTCTGTAATACACTACTGAAATGCTGTTGAGCTTTTGGATCATATTTCATAACAGCTAAGCCTGTGGGGTTTGAAATTATATATATATATATATACACACAATTTATATTCTCATATAATGTATCTTTAATGCAGAATATCACAGTATGACTGAATAATTTTATATTAAAATTATGAGCAAAAGGAAAGGCCACACTGGGAATGTGGCATGGACAAATTATTCATGAATTCTCACGTGGCAGCCAGGGTTAGAGCAAGGAACCTTTTGTGGGATGACATGCTCCTAATTGGTAGAGAATAGTTTGGCTTCAGCATCCTGAGAACTTGGATGTTTAGACATAGAATTGGGGATGACTGGAAGGCTGAATAGTTGTGATGGAATTCTGGATCATGCATGAGGATTCCAGCTTGGTCAGGATCAAGATAAGGGCTCGTTACTGGAGTGCAGACTGACAGAAAGCAAGGTGAAAGTATGAGAGGATTTTAGTCAGTAGGGAAAGACATTATAACTTTTAGAATTAAGTGTAATTTCATGGCAGTATTCACTAATAAAAGGTCCTCTAGTCCAGGGAGAAGCTGACAGTTTATATTGGCAAGTAATATAATACAGGACAAAAAATCAAAAGACCTCTTTTGCCACATCTGTGGGAAAGTAAGAGATGAACAGGATAATTTAAAGGAAAATTATATTAAAAGTTAGGTTCTGAGAGTGACTTCACTTATCAGAATGTAATTAGTCTCTACATAAAACAACTTTCAGTTTTTTCTAATGAGTAAGCTGTGTTGCTGTCATTAATAGTAAACTTTTCTGCAAGAAGATTGAGAGACTGTTTGATCCAGAGTATGTAAATCCAGATTCCAGAGGAAATGCAGCAACATTATACAGGTATGGCCTTTTTATGTTGTGACTTCAGCTGCAAGGAAGTGTTGTGAGGTCCTGCTCTTACTCCTTCCCTTCTTTCTCTTTTCTTTTTTTTCTAATCTAGGTGTTGTTTATGTAAAAAGCTGCTAACTAAAGAAACTGAAAGGAGAATTCCTTGTGTGCCAGGAAAAATCAACATAGATCAACATGGGAATATTGTCTATGTTCATATAAGGTAGTGACTATATATATATAAAATATATATAAAATATTTCTTCAACTTCATGATTTTTGGGTGATTTTACAAGACACTCATAAAATGAATTATACATATGTTAAGAGTGTATGAAACATCTCAACTTCTTGTATTACTTAGCAAACCAAAAAAAAAAGGGGGAGATGATTATGATGATGTACTTCTGAAATTCATTCAGCAGTGCTGCTGCTGCAGGGAAATGGAAAAACTGCAGCCATGATTACTGGGAGGGCTATTTTGGGTTGTACTGCCTTAAATAGAAAATACTCAACTAATTCTTTCATCAGAGGATTTTAAGATGTGTGTAGTTGAAGACAAATTAAATTAAAGGCTGCATTTCTGTTTGTTAGTGAAGGGTAGTTCCACCTCTGCCAGCACAGAAAATCCAAGGAGTGTTTTCTAGACCGACTTTGTACTGTCAAATCTAATATTCAACCTGCTTAAAGACTGCTATAAATAAATATTGCCAGTTGTTTTTCTGTTCCAAAGTATTTGTCAGAGGAGCTTCCAGGACCTATCCTGGATTCACTTGTTTAATTCAATCCTGACTGTTTGATCCACGGTTGTGAACAGCTGGATTCTCTTTTTAATGAAATCAGTACGTGATCAGCTGCAGTTTCTTTCCTCCTTATATGCTCCTTTTAAGAAAAATGTGGGAAATTAATAACAGGAGACCTTTCTCTTTAGATCTGTTTTGTTCAGAACAACCAAAACAGTTCCATATCAGCTCCTGAGGCAACCTGTATTTGGTGTCACTCACAGCAGTTATTCCAAGGTGGGGATTAGTCTAAATAGAACCAAATCTTGCGACCCTGTCCTGACCCATCAGGATCATTGGTGATTAGCCATGTAAAGTTCATTAATTGTATTACTTTCCTTAAGCTGTGTGTAGCTGCTCTGCAGTTCCTAACAGATAAATGTGCAGGGCTTTAAAGTTGCTCAGAGGATTATTCAGGTTCTAGCTGTTTGCCTTGTGGTACTCATGACTGCTTTTGTACACTGAATTTGTTTACTGAGAAGTGATCCTGGCCACTAATGAATTCAGGCTCAGGAGCTAATCCAAACCCATCTTTAATGCCTTAAAAATAGGTTTCTATTTATTGGTCCTCTAGTGGTGCCTAGAACTAACTTCCAGTTGGAAATCCTGCTCTCTTAGCCTAGGTCAGGGGTATATATATCAAAACTGGTTCACACCAGGGCTCCTCCTGAAGGTAACATGCTCCACTGCATATTCTCCTTTGAATTCTGAAGAGGTGTGTCTCATGTGATCACCAGGAAGGAACAAAGTCTGTAATTTTAAGATTAGAAGTGTCAGATGTGTACACTCATCAGAAAGACGTGGTCTTCTGTCTTCAAACTTGAATTCCTAACTAAGCAATTGCTGTTGTGGTGCAGATATGCAGAAGATATTTAGCTTATAAATAGAAGATGTTTAGCTTATAACTTTGCAGTATATGGATTTTGAGATGAATCAAGCTGTGACTTGTGGAAGAATAAAGGCTCTTCTGTCATGCTCTGAATTTAATAATGACTAGCTCACATTGTATCCTTTAACTCTGCTGTAGATGTTTCACCAGTGGAACACACATTGTTCTGTTCCTTTTCCACCTCCCTGTTCTGGTGACAGGATAAAAACAAGAGTCACGACTCTGTATGTGACCTGATGTTTGGCTTTTTCAGAGACAAAACCTGGGAAGTCCATGAGTATTTAATTGGCCTTCATGAGGAATTGAAGTCTTGGAGGGACGTTTATTGGCGCCTTTGGGGGACTGTCAACTGGTTGAGCTGCTCAAGATGTAACCAAGTCAGTACAATTTCACTTGGGCTTGTGGTGGGTGACTTTTGGGGGGTGAGGAAGGGGTCAAAGCAGTTTGGAAAATACATGCTAGTAAAGCTAGGTGTATGTTCTTTATAGAGCAAAATTTTGATTTCCATGGATAATCTTGCCTCTCTCTCTCTTTTTTTTCCTAATGTAGTCTTTCCTGTGTACTGAATTCTCCCATTGCCAGTACCATTCCCAGCCAGTTCTTTATCCAGGTGTAGCCAGTGCTCTGGGCTCAAGTGGGACAGGAGTGTATCCCTGCTGTAACCAGAAAGTCCTTCGGTTTGATCCCACAACCCTCCCAAAGGTACCTCAATACCAGCTCACTTGTAAAAAGAGCATAATATCTGGCAGGGGGGCAACAGTGTGTTATGAAAATAAATCATTTCTCCAAATGAAAGGTTGTAAATTGTTGTCAGGACCTGGGGACACGAGTTCAAAAGTTCAACTGTTGATATTGAGCTTACTGAAATCAGTTCTTCCCATTAACTCTGGTCTTTGATCCTCTGTGTCTGTGTCTCCCAGGGCTGCAAAGTGAGGGATCACATGGTTGAGTTACCATCAGGAGATGAGGATGGGGATGCTTTGCCCTCTCAGACTACTCAAATACTGAATGATCTGCTGCATCATAGAGATGTTATAGTTGTTCCTTTCACTAAGGATGAGAATAGGTAAGAACATTGTATTGTGTTACTGAAATAATTTGGCCTTCCACACTGTGTGCTCGTTGCATTTGAGTTCTCTCCCATCTTTAAATGAGTCATAGGACTTTTTAAAGATAACTTGGTTTTGATTGTTTAGTTGGAAATTGAGAAGAGAAGAATAAGTACTTTTTCCTTTTACGTTTCAAGCAGGCATTCAACTTCAACTTCATTCAACTTCCATAAGCATCCACTCCTATCTTTACATTTTAATGTATTGTTATCAAAATGTTTATGTGGCTGACTTGGAGGTCTGTCTTCTCTCTTGATGCGTGATGAGTAAAGAGAGACTGATCCTGAAGTTGTGAAATAGAAGTATTCATTTTTTGTTTTATGTATTTCTCTCCAAGTGATTCTGGTATTGGGCTTGGTGATGAAAAAGGCCTTGAATGTGATGTGCTTGTAGAGCCAAACACTCCATGGGGTCCCAAAACTGGAGAAATCAATGCTGTAAGTGCTAACTTTTTTTCCTTCCCTTATTTCTGATAAGGAAGATTCTTACAAAAATACTTTGAAGAAGTTGTTGGACAACTTTTAATAAAAAAAAAACAACAAACTCATTGTTGGAGGAAGAAACACACCACTGAGCATTGCAGGATAGCACAGATACAAAAGACCTTGTTGCTGAAAAGGCAAAACTTCTGCCATGTCTGCTGGAAATATTTCTGTATATCAGAGGGAATTTTCTTTGTCTGTGCTTTCTACCCCATTCTTAAACTGATGATATTTAAGGATCCAGTCATACTTGAAAATATTTACCTCATTATATATTTTAAAAATTGCTACCTTGTTTCTGCCTACTGACGTATCTGAAGATCCATAAATAAAGAACAGTAACTTGGGTTGTGTTTTGGTTGAGGGATTTTTTTCCCCTCCAAGATGTTACTATAACATAACACTCGTATTTTTGAATTCCACTCACTTTCTAAAAAAATTCTAATTAATATTAGTTCTTTAACTTATATCCCTTTCTCTCTCTTCATTACTACAGTTTCTGTCTCTGAAGAACTGGGCTTTACAGCTGGTTAGTAAAACATTTTATTAATAATTTAAATTATTTGGTCTTCTGTACTAGCAGAGAACTAGCTTTGATTTTTGTCTTATTTTCTAATTAATTAGGAAAATGTATTTTCTTGCTGTTGCTTTAATTTGGAGGCTGCAGAATGGCAACACTTCTTACAAGAAAGAATAAAGTGTGTGAAGTACTACTTTTTTGAACTTTATCATCTCTCATGGACTCCTAGGCACACATTATCACTTAATTTAGATATATGTGTATATTCAAACAATGTAAACATCACATGAATATTTCCATAATTGTGTGCTGATGGAAACTGTTCCCTGGGAGCCCATCTGTTGCAGTATTGTAGTTTATGATGATAGAAGATAAAGAACCAAAGGTATTGGGAGGAGTTCACAAAAACCAGCTATTCCAGACCAACTTGCAATAAATTATGAATGCAGATAGCTCTGGTGTAATCTAGGTGTATTTGTAGGGCACTGCAGTTATTTAATTACTGTACTTAATTACTGAATATCTCAGCATTTCAGGCACTTTGCAAGATGCAGCAAGCCTGAGCAGAACCCTTTATAAACTTGTATTTTCCTGTGTTCTGTAATTAAGTGGCTTGCTCAGACATCTACTACCACAAGAAATTTTCTTATTAATTAGAAAAATAGTATAACCAGCAATACATTGGATTTTAAACGTGGAATCATACAATAGTACAGGTTGGAAGGGATCTCTGCTGGTCATCTTATGTATTCCTTCCCAGTTTCAAAGTTAGGTTCAACTTCCAGGCTATACTGCTTTGCCAAACTTTGCTATACTGCTTATCCAACCAAAGATGGAGATTCTGCACCTTCTCTGGGCAACCTATTAAAATGTTGGACCACTTGGAAGAAACAAAAATTAAAATATCTAAATGTTTTACGCAAAGATTTGAAAATCCTTTCTCAACACTTGAGAGTTGTGCCCTCAGACCCAACTGCTCACACAGTTACCTCACTGAGATAGGGAGCTGTGCTGGAAATCAGCTCCCTCAGGACAGATTTAATCTGTCATTTAATAGAAATCAAACCTCACTTTTAATCTGTAAACTCTCCTCCTGTTGATTAGAAACAGCAATCACTGTTATCTGAGGAGGAGGAGTACACCACTGGCTCAGAGGTCACTGAGGATGAAGTGGGGGATGAAGAAGAAGTGTGCAAGAAACCAGGTACAACAAGACTCTACAGTCCTCCTCTCTAGGATTTAGAGACAGGGATTTGAGGCAGCAAAAGTCTTCTATAAGCAAATTTTGAACATTAGGCATTTTAAAAAAATAAAAACTACTGTTACTTGAATTTTATTTCTATTTTTTTCTGTGATTAGGTACAAATTACCCCCCTGCTTGGTGCCATCAGAAATCACTGGCAAACAAGAAAAGCTGCAGCTGTTCATCTCTGAGATGTCCTCAGAGTAGCTCAGGAAACTATCAAATGACTTTTATGAGATTATACATAATAAATGTTGACAGAAAAGGCAGTAGTTACATGACTGGTTTTATATGCAAAATATTCTTTGGGTTGTATGCTGGAATGATTGGGGAATGTGCCTAAAACTTGTGTCTGCATTGAAGATGGATCTCTGTAGGATCTAAAAAGATTTTTTGTTCCCTTTTCTTTTTTTTAATGTGATAAGGGGTTTAGGAACATGGACAACCAAAAAGCAGCTTCTCCTTTTCACCCTACTAAAGGGTCACTTGAGCAGAGACAGTTCTTTGTTCCTTCTGTCTTGACTCAAAGGGATTGGAGTTGCACCAGTCTTAAGAAAAAGACACATGTTGAATGAAAATTTGGTCTGATTGAGTTAATATGGCCAAAAATGTAGCTTGTACGTGCACTTATTTTTAAATTTAAAGGATTTATGCTGTGTGTGTAACTACTCTGCATTTTAAATATACCTTTGAGTTCCTGTACACTTCTCATAGAAGAGCATTTGAGTAATGTGTATTAGCATGCCTGCAACACAAAGAAAAGGAAAACAGCCTGTTAATTTACACTTTTTGTAAAGAGATAGAGGGGGAAAAATTCCTCTGTAGCTGTGTAGTTGAGAAATTCCAAGTATCTGTCATGGTATGAATGGATATTTCTTCCATCAGCAGGGAGAAAGGAGAAATTAAAGAAATCCTACAGGCACCCAAAGAAAGTGCTTTCTTCACCTAGTGTTCAGAAAAGGGAGAAGCCATCTGAGAAGGTAAAATCCTAGCTGTGAATCCAGGCTCTTGGGTTGGGTTGCTTGATGGGGAATTCTCTCTAAGTTTTAAACTTGATCTTAAAACACACATAATGTGATTTTCTTTCTTTGGTAGCCGAGTTCCCGAGATGCATCTCCATTCATGTAAGTCATTTTTCAAGCCCTTAAAAACATATTTTAGTATCTCCCTCTTTGTAAGCAGCTACTTGATGACATGGTGTGCATCTTCCTTTTCCCAACCAGTGTGAGCATGCAGCAGAACAAGTGGGATGCCTCCAGGTCACTGAGATACAACCAGGATGCCCAGAGAGAAGATGGTCTGTTCTTGCATGAGTTTAGTTTTCATAAAGTTTAGGATCATTTTCTTTGCATAATGTTTTCTATAGGAAACAACCAGTTTTCTTCAAATGTAGCTGCTTGGACACCTTTAGGTTGAATTTAATCTCAGACACAGCCATGGGGTTTTTGGGTGTTTGTGTGATTTGTGTGCTTTATTTGGTAATGTCAGCACATAACCTACAGAGATTACAGTTGTGTCATCTCATGACTGTGCATATAATTTATTGCATCCATGTGGCATCTTATCTGTGCAGATAAGAGAGAAACATCCACTTCTATCTCTTTCTCAGTCTCTCTGACTAAAATATTCTGTTCATTTGTCCTGCCTTTTTTTTAATCTCTCCTGAGACTCTTGTGCATTTCTGCTGGTTTGAAAACCTCTGCCTCCAAACCATTTCCATAGATTTTGATCTCAGTGTATTGCCTGAGGTTGATTCTGGTATTTGCCAAGAAGGCTGCTGAGACTAAATTATCCTAAATTATCCATCAGGATTTAGGATCTTTGTTGTTTAGGATTTTTATAGGAGCTGAAAAGAAAGTTAATTTTACAAATCCACCATCACTCATTTACGTGTCTAATTCTTCTCTTTGCATTCACTAGCAAGGAAAACCTCTGCTCTAAATATCCTTTCTTATTTCTGACAGATCAGAGAAGAATGTCTGAGATTACAGGGCATTTAATAAAAATGAGACTGGGGGACCTCGATCGAGTCAAGTCAAAAGACAGCAAAGAAGTAAGATTTGTCCTGGTACAGTTTGCAGAGTTGAAGGGAGCCTTAGATAACAAAAACTAGTAACACAAATGAAAACACCACCTATTCAATACTTAAGCTAAAGAACTGAATTATATCAACCTTCATTTTGTCCCAAGCAGGATCTTTTGGTGGGATTATAGTTTAAAATAGTATTTCAACTTCACTGCCCTTAAAAAACTGGTCCTGGAAAATAGGTTTAAAAAATTCAGTCCTGGGTTGTGCTAATGAAACGAAGTATGCCATAAATTCTACTGGATATTAGTGATCTTTATGAAAAGTCACTGATTGCACTGAAATAATGCCAAAACTTGATGATTTTTTTTTTCCTGGATTCCAGTATGCAGGAGGCATTTATTCCAGGCTGGAAGCTCAGATCAAGGCCTCGGCGCAGGTCAGTGCGCGGCAAAACAACGCCGAGAAGAATGTCAGGTAAGAATTGGAAATGAAAGGAAGAGGCAAAACATGGATTTCAGGTGTGGGGGGGTGGTGGGTGTTTAAATTAAAACATGCCTTGTTTCACACTTTGTCAAATTAAAGTGGAGCTAAGAGAGTGGAACTCTCGTGGCTGTGCTGGAAGAACTGCTTTACACCTTCTGTGTTGGGAAGTTCGCTCCAGCTCCAACATAATTTTTTGGCAGAGTTATGGATAACTGGAAAAGTGTTAGCCAAGATTTTCAACCTATTCTTTGTTCTCCTTCCAAAAACAAACCCCCACACATCAAAAACCCCTACATTAATAATGTAAAAAAAAAATATAAATACGCTTCTTTTGTGTTTTCAATCCAGGTCAAAATCCCGTTTTGGTCAAGGCCGTCCCACATAAGGAGTCATGACCACCCTTTAGCCAGAATTCCTTACTGCTTCCTGAAACTCCACTGCACTCTGACGTGGAGAATGCACATCTCTGAAAGCTTTCCAGTGACTTATTTATTACTTTAAGCCTTGTAAATTATTTTGTGCCATAAATGAATGCAAATCCAATAAGGTCTGTACTTATTTTAATTGTAAATATCCTATTTCTTAAATTTAAATTGAATTGCCTTTTTTTTGTTTTTCTTTTTTTTTTTTTTTAGGCTATTGTATTAAGTTGCATAGAAAAGATTTTATAAATCTGCAGAATTAAATTATCAGACTAACTTTATTTATGGGGGAAGACAGAAATATGCCTTTTGGTGTGCCAGAAATACTGAAAGGGGCAAAGCAAGACTACTGAGCTCTGAATGCACTCAGCAGCATTAACACAAGTCTCCTCGTGTATTTATGTTGTGTGGTGTTTGATGGTCCATTTTAGGTCAGTCTTCTGGGGATTTGCATTTAAAGTTCATGACAATACCTGTGACTTAGACTAGTTGAAGCAAAATTTTGATGCAGTTCTGAGGCCTCCTTCTGTATGTGACACAGCTCCATCCATCTGAATGTGGGCAGCAGGTAGGGACTAGACCTCCAAAGCTGAAATCAGTGCCCTGGTGATGCAGCTTTGCATCCTGCATGTGAACCACTTGCTTTACTTGTATCTGGAATTAATACTCATCCTCATTCCTGACTCCACTTACAGTGTCTTGTTCCCCTCCAACACCCAGACTTAGGATGCAGAGCAGTTTTATGGATGCAATGCCACTAAATATCCAAGCAGATCCACTGTTAATTCTGCATCTTGCAGCAGAGGTGTCTCATTACAAAGGTTTGTGCATGTAGATCTTTTTTTGGGTCTAGTTACTCTCTGAAACCTGCCTGGATAACACTGTTTAGAAGTCAGGTGCACTTTCAAGTTCTGTCTTTGGAGCAATAGAGTACAAGTTTGTCAAATCCAGGGCTACCAAAATGAAATAACTTGCCTAGAAAATACCTTGCATATTAGCAAAGAAAATGGCAATAATAATAATAATAATAATAATGGCTGAATTCAAGGAAACACATTCTGACTTTTTGAAACAGGTAGAAAGAGCACTCAGGGAAAGCTTATTCCAGCTCATGGCTGTACAATAAATTGAGTTTGGAATTAAGCCAGCAAGATCCTGGGTGGGAGGGCAGGGTGGGGTAAGGAGAGGGAGGTTGTTTAAATGCTCTTCCCTCCATTTGGGCTTTTTTTTTTTTGTTTGTCTTGTTTCCTGATGATTTTCAGTGGGTGTTAGAAGACTAGGATAGCAATACTTGAAAATCCTGCTGTCAAGGGGGAAGATTTTTATTGAACCAGTTAAAAATCAGTGTTGTTTGTGTGTTTTGTCCAATGCTGTAGCAAATTGGGAGCCCAGTGAAACCAACAGGCAAAATTGGATATCAGTGGCTTTGATTTGGGGCAGGAGTGCTTTAATCTGTGTCAACCAAATCAGGTTTTATGAATGCCCCAGGGCTGTTTGCAAGTACTGATGCAGTTTGAAGCACTTCTAGTAAACACTGGAAAACTGATTGTTTTTTGTTGGAAGTATTCTAAAATCCACCAGGTATGAAAATGCAGTAGAATAAGTGTTTTGCCACAATTTTGTGACTTCTGATGGAGGGGTGTTCCAAATTCCCATGGTAAACTTGGCTGTGGAAGTTGCAGGCTGCATGTGTGTGTGTGTTTAGTTTTCATAGAACTACTGACTAGAAGAGAAAGGAAAAATCTGCTGGTTTTGTTCTGTGGGGAAGTGCCAGTTCTACGTGCCAGTATTGTTTTATTCAAAAACATTCTTGAGCATATAAAAATAACATACATGATGTGCAGTTTATCTCTTTTTTTCCCCCGTGCCAACCACCTTGAATTTTTATCTTGTGTTAATTTTGAGAATTTGTCTTGGTTTAATGGAAATAAACATTAATTTAAGAAGCGTGTGAGTGTTTTATAGATGCTTTTAAGAACTGAGTTATGTTGTTTGATGGTCTCAATCATGCCACGTGTATTTGTGATTAAATTGCAGCATCACAGTACAGGCTTTTTATCTGTCAAGAACAGGATATCATTAAATGCAAAGCTGCTCCAAAGCTACATGAACTTAAAAGAATTTTTATCTACATCGAGTTTTGAAGCCGGATTAAAAATTCATGAGTGAGCTGCCCTCCAAGTGACCCAAGTATGCAAAATATTAAACTAAGCTATGTTTAAAAAAACATGTTTAACACTGCCTTGCACTGCCACAGTGCAGATTGCACCGTTTAAACAGTCTGTTAAATCCATGAATATTATTATTTGCCGTGATTCTGTTTCTAGAAATTGCTACGTGGGTGCCCTGTACATGTGCAGGGGGTGTATTGGGAAGGCTGCAATGTCCATCCTGCTATCCCACGTGGGTATAAACTATCTCCCTGCCCTCTGGAGCTGTGCCTGTTCCCTGGATGCCTAGAGATCTTGGAGAAAGGGACAGAATTTTGAATGCAGCCATGAGTCCAAAAGATGTGTTTTGGAGAAATGTGGACATATGGTTGCCCCAGTGTGTGAACAGCGTGGGTGGTTTTGATGTGACTGAGAACACACTTCTCTTTGCCAGAAGGGAATCAGTTTTTTAAAAGTCATTGTTTCCTGTTCTTGCTGAGTGTACCTGTATGGGGGGTTGGGAAACTGCTCCTGTGCATCAGGTGCTTGAGCCATTATGTGAAGTTTTTTTTCTTTATTTCTTAATAATTATGAAATCATTCAGGTTGGAAAAGACCTCCAAGACCGAGTCCATCTTTTAGGAGGTGAAGAAGGCTTCACTCATGTTAAATTTATTTGTTACAGATTTACTGCTGAGTCCCCTCCTGGTTATATCTATAAATAAAACCAGCCAAAGGCTTTTCCAGGCTCGAGGCCAAGTGACTGCCCAGAATTGCTGTGTCCCTGAGGTTCTGTCTTTGAGCATCAGGGTGGTGGAGGCTGAGGGAACCATCAGCAGCTGGAAGGCTACAGCAGGTGACAGTCACCCAGCACTCCTCTACTTTGGGAATCACACAGGCTTGGAATGTTAATTTGATGGCAAGTGCTGCTCTTGCCTTGGACTGAGACCCTCCCAGCGAAACAGCTTCTAGAGAGCGGGGTAACAGTGTTGTGCTGCACCCGAGCAGCGGTTCCCCTTCTACACCTGCCTGGGGGGGAACTTTAAATTTGTATCTAGTCTTGCACTGAGTTTATGCACAGGAGTGACCTTCCTCCTTCAGCTTCTAGGCTGCTCCCCCACAGATAACCCCATGGGGGATCTTTCTGGAGTTTTATCCCCTGAGGTCCCAGGCCTTCCCATCTCTGAGCTTCCAGCGCTCCGGGAGGCCCCGGAGGCTGTTGAGGCTGCGTTGCCTTTGCTCTCACTTGGAATATCCAAAAAGTAGATCTTCATTAGTGGATTAAGACTTTCCAGCACATGGACATTGCCAGTGGTCAAGGGGGTTGGTTGCTAGAAGAACCTGTTGGTACAAATGCCAGCTTATGCAGGCTCTGACCTGGCTGTGATGGCCCAAAGGGGTGTGGTGCTGTTTGGGGAATGAGATCAGGGCTCTTTCTTCTTCCCAGGAGGCATTTTGTGCACAGGCCTGCCTTCTGTACTATTCCACATAAACTTGCTAAGGCCTGACCATCATGGACACAGGGAATGATCAGGCCAGGAAGGAAAATTAACTAGTACTGACACCACCAAATGGACAATCATGGCTGGATGGGGCCTTTGTTCAAAAGACACTGTGCCCATGTTGAACTTCTTTTAAAAATTTTTTAATTGCTTCTTCTTGAATTGTTCCCACATTTCAATAATTCAAGGCTAGGACACAATGATAATTTTATTTTTAGTTGTTATGTGCAGTTTTATTGTATTTTGTGTTCTCGTTCAACCTCCAGTAATTACTTCAGTAACCACAGTGACAAAATGTGGCACAAACATGATAAGACTTGGTGTGGCAGCAGTTTCCTTGCTGTGTAATCAGCTTCTCCTTCTAGTTGAAGGTGTATTTACCTACAAATGATACATCTCATCATGGAGTTTGTTTCAATCATTTGTAGCCTTTGAAAGTCCTCTACAAGCTTAAAATGTCGGTTGCTTTTGGGTACATCGAAGTAAAATGTTTTAACACTACCTGTAAAATACTAGGGCACACTTCAGAGGTGTCTGCTTTCCTCCCATGAAATAGTAACTACTATTTTCACAGCAGGAATTCTGTATTTATTCCTTTTGGAACAGAGTGAAGATACTCTGCCATCATTATGAGATCAAAAGGGGCAATGCTGGTTTTCTTTCCCAGGGAAAATGTGCGTTTCTCTCATGTTGACCAGGATGTTTGCTGATTTATTCTCATCTCTGTTTCAAACGTTAGAATAAAAATACACTAGCCACTTTTTGTGTTACAGCACAAAATGTCCCGTTTCCTTATTGGTTTATTTTATTGCCCAAAAGGACTTTGATCTGCCAAGCTGAAAATGATAAGCACATTATATAGTTGGTGGATTGCTCTCGAAGGCTTATTCCAGTCTTTCCCTTTGCTGTCAGTGAAGCGTTTGTTAAGGAAATAACTAACATATGATATGGCAAATGAGATGATTCTTTACAGGTTTTCTGTGTGAGAAACAACCACCTGGTTTTGCCTTCAGGAGGAGATTTTTTTCTGCAGTGCTCATGGCGCTTTCTAGAGCTCTGGTTTTTGCTTTGGTCAGCTGGGTTACCTTCACCTGTCTTGAGGCACAAAGTAAGTACTCTTATACTTCGTGAGCATTTTACTGCTTTTATTGAAATGGAACAAAATTAAATGTATTAAATCCATACAAATCACAGTCCTAGAAGTCTGAGACACGTTGATTTGTTGCTTGATAAACTAACATCTAAACAAGCCATCTTGGTGCCCAGGGAAGTGGTCTGGGGGCTTTCAGGAGCTCAGTGCTGACAAACTGAAAACCATGCTCTTATTTTCTTTGAACTTTTGGGGGTTTGGTTATTTTATATTATTATTTTATATCGTTATTTTATATATATTTGCATCAGACCTTAGAAAAAATTCTTAGGCTGAAGTTGAGCCTGAGGATGGATAGTTTTGAAGTTGGGATCAGTTAAATTCCATGCTGTTGCTGTTCTGCTAAATCAGGTTGGAGTATTTACCATTGTTACACGTGATATTTGTAGTGGTGAGGAACTCCATTAAAAGTTTTCTTTATTGTATTGAGGCTTCCAGAAAGTGAAAACTGCCAATTTTTTGATCTTTTTCACTAGTCCAGAGCCCAGGTTTTTCAACACTCAGAGATGGAGGCAGTGAATTAGACCCATAACCAGCATTAGACCCATACAGCTGCTGACTGTAGAAATATCCTCTGGGGTTTTATTCAGTTCCTTCTGTAGAAATCTGTCCACTGCTCATTTTAAATGAAATCCTGTAGAGTGATACAGACATGAAGGGATCCACCCAGCCAGGCAAAAAGAACCCACTGTTTGTTTACCACCTGTCCCTTTGAATCTATGGGAAGGATGGCAAGGAGAAGAGTGGGAACATTCTTAAAACCACAAAAATGAATTCTAGTCAGGGGAGGGGAAAAAAATCTGGCAGATTCCTGGATTTCTGTGTTTATAGTTTGCACCTGTACAAAAAAAAGTCTCACTTTCATCACACAGAGAAGATGTAGAGAGAGGTGTCTGAGGTACAATTAACCACTTAAAAAAGCAACTTCTCATGAAAAACCTGTATCCCCAAAGTGCCACCTTCTCTGAAAGTTTAAGGAGAGGAAATTTAAGGTAAATCTGTCAACGTGCCTTTACCCTGAGCTAAGTTTTCTGTGGGGAGTAGCTTTGTGTTGACAGTTTTCTTGGGAGCAGAAAACATTTACAAGACCAAGGTACAGAAGCAGTTTCGATTACGATTTCCACAAATGTTTCAGTAGGACAGTAATGAGCAGTGACTCACTCTTGGCAGGCTTAGATTGGGTCCAAGCCACCAATATTTGCTTACACCATGCAATGTGTTGTTTTAAACCCTTCAAGGTTTATGATAAATGTCTTTGAGCTTAATTTGAAGTCTTGTGTGCATCTGGTTTTACAGAGCATAAGCTTTTTGGCCTTGTACTATCTCTGTGTTCTTTGTACGTGACTTTCGTGTTTCTTTTTAGAAACCACAACTATAAACTGTGATGTGCCACCCGCCACGCTTGAGCTGACAGGCTTTGTGGATGGATACACAGGTAAAATCAGGATTCCAGCCTAGAATTGTCTGATCTGCTCCCAAATGCTTATAGTACTTTAATGCTTCACATAGACAGTGTATTTTAAAATGAATCTGTATTATTCATTGATTTACAACAGTCTTCGTGGCTGGATGCAGCAGCTACCTATGGACCTACTGCTTAGTAGAATAAATAAATATCAAACCCTAAATTCCCTGATCCAGGCATCTTGTTGTCTGAACAGACAGAGCAGGCAATGGGAAAGGAAACAAGTACAGAAAATGTTCTCAGTTCACCTTATCCAGTCAGGATTTGATGTCCCTAATGGATATACAAGGCAAAGCATTAAGTTATGGCCAAAGCTTCCCTTTGGGATATGTCATAACCCTTAGGATCTCATGGCATCATGCTGCAGGCCCATGCTGACTGTCCACAGGCAATCTGCATTTCTTCTGGCTTTCAGAAAGATCAGAGTCATAGAATGGTTTGGGTTGGAAGGGACCTTAAAGCTCACCCAGTTCCAACCCCCTGCCATGGGCAGGGGCAACTTCCACTAGACCAGGTTGCTCAAGGCTCCATCCAACCTGGCCTTGAGCACTTCCAGGGATGGGGCAGCCACAGCTTCTCTGGGCAACCTGTGCCAGGGCATCACCACCCTCAGAGTAAAGAACTTTTTCCTGATATCTAATATCTCTTTCAGTTTGGAGCCATTTCCCCTTGTCCTG